TATATAATATACTTGCGTATATTTATTTTTGGCATTACTTTATGACTATTAGTAATTAGTAGTGTCTTGTGTAAAATAGCTCTTTGATTTTAATAACTGATTTCTGGGCTTATAAGTTATAAGTTATTTTTTACCTACAAATTGAATTCTGTAGACTGAAATAAAATGTAGTTTAGATGTATTAATGATAAGTACAGCGTTAAAGTTAATAATTTTAATAATTTTAATAATTTTAATAATCTGAATAAATATTGTTAATCGAAAATAAATGTAAACAATAATTTTGTTTGTATGTTTACCAATCAAAACCGAAAATAACAATAGCATTTAAGTAATTTTAAATACATATTTTTAGTTTTTGAAAAGGGTTTATAGTGTTTAAACACATATTTCGATAATTCATCGTTAACGATTCACCGTCCATAATAAACTCCTTACAATACTATACATTATTTTTATTCAGTTGTATTGAGAATATATCATAGATTATATTTTTATACTTCTAAAGTTTTTGGTTAAATTTTATAGTATGGAAAATAGCTTTCGTTGTTATTTAAAACAAATTTTAAGAAATAAAAACTTTTAAAATATTTTATTAGAAATCGGAATAGCACGTTAATAGATCGCTCCGTATATACTTTTATTATCTTTTAAAGACGCATTAAAAACTTTATTGAATATACGTCATGAGTGTATTTGGCATAATAATATAATATAAATACAATAATAATAAAAAAAAAAAATGGATTCAATTTATAAAGATTTATTTCTTATATTTATATTTATTAAATATATTCACTACTTAGTATTCGCTGAGTCTGTATATTAAATGAACTATTTAATATCTAGTGTATTTTTTTTTATCTATTATATAATAAAATAATATAGGCATCTAAATATTATATATGTATATTATTTTAATTATAATTTAGTTTTCTTTTGTTATTTAATGAAGATACAAATATAAATGTTAGGTATTTATATTATATTCATACGTATTCACTATTTGTGTATTGCAAATATATTAAGATTATAATAGATAAATTGCTCACACATGTTTAACTAATATCATAATAACTTTAATATTAAACATTTTTGCGCTAAAAAAGACTTATTATTATTATTTGTATATACTGTATTGTGTTTAGTATTGAATATGCAAATATTATTAGGTATATATTATATATATACTCGTATGTTTACAAATTAATAATATTGGTGAATGATTAAGGCCAATAAACTATATAAATGTATACTCTACTGCCTTATTCTTTATTATTAGAATTCATTTTATGATTTATGTGTAATTAGTTGCAGTTTGTTATTAATATACATCGTGGAATATAATGTAAATCGGCTAAAATCTATACCATTATATTATAATAATATGATTTTTAAAGTAGATCTACCTATTAACAACATAGCCTATATTCACGCGACATCGTTCTGTATAGATTATATTATGTTAATATGTCATCACTAAACCATAATGACGTACCTATATAAGAAGTAATGCCGCAACAGCCTTCATCAGTATACGTCATGAACGCATACGCATTTCATATTTTTAGTTCAATGATGCACGGATAAAGTATCTTCGTCCTACAACAATAACACTGCACACAATTTCCTTGTCACATTGCTTAAATTTTAATTATTCGAATAATTGGAGCAATGCCGGCTTGTGAAACTGTAGAACATAATATAATATAGTAAATATCACATTGGGAGTGTTTTTGAATAATCACGCGGTCGTAAAATAAATAAGATCCAACAGTATGTTTGGGTAATAAATTAAATTAAATATGTAAGATTGAAATTATATTCCGAATATAAAATTCAGGTAGACGTATATTAAGGTGTTCTGTAGTGTTGAGATTGTTATTTGTGCCGTGTGGGAACATCCTCTTCTTGCGATTAAATGTAAAATATCCAGACAACCTTATCTTTGAGTTCATATTTTATCAATTTGCTTTATTTTTGTTGAACTTCTACAATTTCTTATTTTTTAGGTTGCTAAGTAAGTAGTAAGTAGTGCATTTGACATCAAAGTTCTTTCAGTATTTCAGTATTAGTCACCGACCAATATTAAATACATATAAGTACACTTATACTATATAACTATATAAGTTGTACGTGTATAATGAGCCAGCGGGTATATTAAATTGTCGAAATATAGTAAAATATTATAATTTTAAGAAGTGATATACTAGTATGGCGATATCCATAATAATATATACTATATATAGTATATAATATGTGTGTGTGTGTGTGTATAGGTAGTAAGTACCGTTAAATTAAAAATAGCCAATTTTGCTATTTTTATGGTAATTGATATGTTAAAAATAAGAATAACTTTTTACAACTTTTTATATAAATTAATTCTAAATGTTCTTTTTTTGTTTGATTTTTGTTGTTGTTATAACTGTATATTGAACGGCTGTATCTATCTATTTATGAAAAATGAAAATAAATGAAACTCGATAGTATACGTCTTGGTGATGCACACATGAGGAGAGGGAGTTGTGTGTTCAAACCCTTGATATATTATTTTTACTATAGATAAAAAAAAGTGAAAATGTTTTTATAAAACATAATATTATGTATATAAAGTATGTATATTAAGTAATATAACTCCATATTCCCCACCATTATTGGAAGTTTCAAGTTTCCGTGTATTATTCGTTAGTTCGTTAGGTACTGATACGTTTTTTTATTGCCCAATTTCAATAAATTATATTACATGTAGTAATATATATATAGGTAGCCGGTAGGTACCAACGACCAACCTACATAACATTTATGATATTGTAACCCAAGTAATAAGCAGTATATAAGCTAGGTTGAATGGTTTTTTATTATAAAGTTAACATTGTCAAACTTTGTGTTAAAAAGGTGCATTATACATTTATACATGGACCCATAAAGAGTGTATCAACTCACCACGCTTTTCTTTGTTACAGTAAATAAATTATTTTAAGAAACAGTTAAAAATGTAATAATTATAATTATTTTTAATTTTTTAACTTAAAATCACATTATTCTAATTAAATCGTTAGAACTATTTAAATTTGCATATATTTGCTGTTATAAATAACAGAAAACATTTTTTGTTGAATTTTAAAAATAAATGATAATCTAACTTTTTAATAATTTTGTACTTTTATTTAATAGACTAGCTGCAATTTAAACGTTTTAAATAAAATGAAAATGAATTGTGTTTATTATTGTAAAAAATTATAAAAATCAAATATCAAGTACATAAGAATTGGGTAGTTAGTAAAACTTGTAAAACATTACCCACAGAAGACACCAAAATTAAATTTAGGTGTTGTATATATTATTTTATAATAATGTTAATATTTATCTTAAATATCTATAATTTAGACTTAACTTGCTATTCCATAATCTATAACATGATGTAATAAAAAAAATTGTGAGTGTTTAATTTTTACATTTGCATTTACAAATCATTAAATCGGTACTTTAGTATCTAAGTATACAAATGTATTACATGCAGGGGCTTGAATTTGAAAAAAATATTTTGTTATTCGTTATTTATAATTAAAACGTTATACAAATTTTTAGTTTATCGTTATTCAGAGTTAAAATGTTTAGTATATTTTATGATTTATAAGTTATAACTATTAAATAATTGGAAATTAATTATTTCTTTTTATGATATACTATATATAATGTTTTTCGTTACCTATGTTTTGTTTGATGATATATATTTTGTTAATCGTTATATTTTATTTTGTTTTATTTAATTATTTATGTTTATCGTTTTCCGTTATAATTACGTTTAAAAATTTCAATCGGTTTTTGTAAAGTATAACGTTATAATCATAACGTTATTATAACGTTTGCAAGCCCTGATTACATATGTATTCATACTGATGTACCTAAGATATTTTTTTTTTAAATAGTGTTAAAAATTAAAGTATTAAATACTAGATTTTGATTTAACAGTTTATTCAAACAATAACGAATATTGGGAGAATTTTGTGTTCGGTGTAAATTGTAAGTACATTGTAATTTAAATTTTTTGTTACTTTCCATTTATGTATAATGTAATATGTAGGTAGATAGAAGATACTCTGAAAATTGTTTCAGGTTGAGTTATTAAGAACATTGGTTATAGCCTTATATAGACATACCTATTGGTAAGCGTTGCTTCAGTTCGATTATAGACAATTTTAAATTACAAAATAAACATCTATATAGATGATGATGAATTTAAAAACTGCATTTAACGCAATATTAAAAGTAAAAATTAACAATAATACAGCCTTTTGTTCACTAACCGCTACGTAATATCGTGCACCCGTCATTATAACAATATTATTTTATACTTTCATATTGTTGAGTTATATTCACGACGCCCATATATATGTGAGACTTGGTTGTGTGGGCTGTTAGTGTTTCAGTGGCGAGGGCGACAATATTTTTTTCTTTTATTATAATTATCATAAAAATAAAAAATAAAACCACATAACGATGATGTTTACTACGCTCGAAAAGCTGCATCTCTTCGCGTCTCATCGTTTAGCTGCCGCCGAGCGAGGAGCCGACCAGTGTATTGCGACAAATATATTATTATAACACGCATTCGTCGTCATTCATTCGTTTTCGTGAGTTTAATACGCGGCGTTTCGATCGTGTTACGATCAAAAACACGAGAATAACCAAAAATGAATACCTACATAATATTAAAAAACTGACTATTACTGTAGCCCTCCATTCAACAGATTTACTTATATTACTCATAAGTCGCAATAGACGCAATATTGCTCAGCGTGGCACAAAAATTAGGGGTTTTCGTGGATGGATCAGCTGGTGACCCGCCGCAAGCAATGTATTATCACCCATGACGACGACGCAAATACGCGATACGGTCGTCAACCGGTGGAACGTGATACGGTCGTGAAGATAGTAGGTATGTACTGTGTCGTAGTGATAAGAAAATAAAATATAATATTCTTGCGAACTCAAAAAACGATCAACTATAATATAGACATTAATGATCAATAACAATAAGTAATAACTAATAAGTAATAACATTAAAAGAATATTGTGAAGCGACCGCTAATCGCTGTATAGTGCGCCGAACATTATGCTGACTTGTTTATGAGCTCGTAAAATAGGAAATCGTAAAAAATAAAAAAACGAAGAACGTCGGTGTCTCTCTCTCTCTCTTTCCGTTCCGTTTTAGTATTTATTTCACATTTGCAAATTTCCCGAGACGTGTCGCATTTCGATCGTCGCGCCGACACTGCTAGGCACCGTACTACACGAACATGATTCGTGATGGCAGATCGCGTGCGATCGTTGCCTTCACCTCCGATGGGACGTAATTCGCCGGCATCGTTGCAGAATTCCAGGCCGACGTTGCGAACGGGAAGAGGAAAATAAAATAATATCACAAATATATATAGTCCGACGTTGTGGTCGCTGCCAATCGCCATGGTCTCCGACGGAGTGGGATTACGCGTGTGTGAGAATGTATCTTGAAATGCTAAAAATAGCCACCATCCGCCCGCTGCAAACGCTTCTATCCTAATTCTTTTTCTACACGCAGACTTTTATTTCGTTTTCCTGCGTATAATTTCGATTAAATCATAACCACAGTATTATCGTCAGTCGGAGTTTTCGTACTTTTGATTCTTTTTCTCACAGATTTAGTTTAAATTTTTTTTCCAAAAATGTTTAAATTTTTTCATTTACATAATCCATGTTCAATTGCCGTGTGACCACAATCACACGTCTGTTGTTGAACTAAAGTGGTTGACAAAAACGAAAACAAATTATTAAATATTGTACGCTGGGTATAAATGTTATTGAACACAAATGTGCAAATGGTTTCATGAAAATTTGCAGTTGAAACACTCAAACAGAATACCAACAACGAAACACGATACTTGTGAACATATCTCAACAAGTAAGATGAATTTATATAATATAAATATTATTTTATTTTTTTTTGTCTAATATTAGATTTTTTGAATACAATATTTATTACAGTCAGATATCAATATTGTGTATACTAGCTATATTAATTTGCTATTTCAGTATTATTAATTATTATTTTTGCCAAAATTCAATAGATTATGGCACACTCGTCTGTGTCAGGCTAACAGTTAAAATAGTCATTAGCAAGTCATTTAACCAGTCATATTATAAAAAAGTTATGAAATTGCCAACGCTTAGGCTAGCCAAGAAGTTAATAATTTTTCAATATCAATAAAATTTAAATATTTTATGCTATCTATATAATATCTATGCTAATATATCTATTTGATAAATTAAGTTGACGAGTAAACAAATTAGGTAGATTGATTTGTAATATTTTTGATAACTTTTCATATTAACCTATTTTAAAATATTTAAATTATTGATGACTATTATTATTGATTATACTCAGAGCCAGATAGGCAAGGTATAGGCCTACTGAGTTTTAAATTTTCTTACGTTTGATTATAGCTACAGTATTGTACAATTTAATGTTTCAAATCAATTAATATTTTACTAATTTATCATTATCATAACAAAATAAAATGACAACTAAACACTGATAATTGTCGACTAAACACTCATAATTATCCCATATTTTGAGCATCCATTAAGATTTTCTCGATAGCTTGTTGGTCCAATCCCGACTTGTTTATACTAATACATAAATAACTTACTGGAATTAAAATCTATTATTTATTTGGTGATTTGATTTTATATAAATAATAATTTAAACTATAATAGTTACAAGAATAGTTATGAAATCTGTATAACCTAAATATTTTAAAACATTCTGAATATCATAATTTAGGTAATAGCTTAACCCTTCATATATTAATTAATTAAGTATAAAAATAAATAGTGTTAGGTAATTTAAGTTAATTTAACTGATTTATGCTTTAACAATATAATTAATGAAGATATTGGATTAAAATAGATATCCATATTAATATTTATACTTCAGACAATATTTTGGATAATTTTGTTCTTTTTAAAATTAACAGTTTGTATTTTAAAAATATTATAAACTAATAATCTACTTGTTATTCATATAGAATTTACTATTTATTCTGTTTAGTATTGTTTTTTTTACAATCAGTTATATTATCTTATTAAACATTAAAGTAGGTACATTTATTTTCTTTGTTTAAATACTTTAATAATTTATTGGATTCAAGTGGTTTAATACATAAAAATGTTTTATTAACTTTACATATAGCTTCTAGCAAATAGAAGTTATAATAAATTTGTTGATAAAAGTATTAATAATTTTTATATGATTTTTTTATTTTTATTTTTAAGCTAAAAAATAGTATAATCTGTAAAACAATTAATTACAATAAGCACAAGTGATTAAAGAACACAATATGAATATTTAAAAATAAATTGTTTCTTTAATTTTTATATAGTAATTAAATACAGTAGACTTAATTTCATTCATTGTGATTAAAAAAAAAAAAAAAAAAAATATTGAGTGTTTAAAATTTACATAAATACATTATATCAGTTTGATAGGTAATTATTTTGTTTTAAATATTGAAAATGTTAAAAAGCTATCAAAGTTCAAGGTATCAAGAGTTATCTTTATTTGTTTTTGTATAAATTACCTTCTTATTTAATATCTATAATTAATAATTACATTTAAAAAAACTGTTTTTGATAATCATCTTTCTAGTTTTTAATTTAATAATTTGGTAGTTGATTTCATGGATTTTGAAGAAGAGTTTGATTTTTATTATATTGCTTCAAGAAATGCTAGAAATAAAGTTTAAACGCATAAAAACAACATATCTAAAACTTTTTAAGATTGCTATTTCCCTGTTTATAAAATAATCACTGTGGCAACCATTGGCATAAATTAATATTACTGTATGTGTTTATGTTTATGATATCTTGAATACAATTAAAACTGTTAAATGATAGTTAGAATTTACATAGTTGTATTAGACATATTATTAATTATTATATCTAGTTAAGTTTATTTTTATAAAAAATCTGGGAAAAAGTCATAATTTTGTATAACTTTAACATAGACATATTGTGTTTAATCTTATTAAATATATTGTCAGTTGTTACTTATTGTCAATTATGTGTGTGTATATATATATTGGTTTTTTTTATTTAAAAAAAAATGTCAAATTTAAATTCAATACTTGTAAAAATTTTACAAATTAATATATATTTATTATTAATATATTGATTACATGCATTAGTTGCATAGTAATTAGGGTGTTGTAAAATAATAATTTGATTTGATTGTACAAATAATTTACATAATTTAAATTAGTTATTGATAGTTATAAGATGCTTGGCTGAGAGCCAATTCAGCTTTTGTACACTACCTGTTTTTATGGTTTGTGCACGACTGATTCATACATTTTAAATTTATAATTGTGTATCTACAGTATTTGTATTTTAGTTTAAATAAATGATCAGTAATGTCATTTTTTAGTTTTCTCAAGAATTTTTTGTATAAAATTAGTTACTAAGATAATAACATTTATTGTTTTATACATTGATATGATTGATAAAAATCAATGATCAAATCAAAAAAAATTTTTATTCAAAATTATAAATTGTATGTTATTGTTTTTAAAGTTTTATTTAGGTACTTTTATAATTTGTGCTTACATTTATTGGATATTTAATTATTTATATTTTAATTGGTTTACATTTTTTAGGTGCTGAACAATATGGTTGTACCAGAAAACGGGACAATGTGTGATAATATTATGCGTGGTATTGAAAAAAATGGTGGTGGTATACATTTGCACAATAGAAAACAAAAATTAAAACAAAAGTAAAAAAAATAAAAATATTATCTATGTTTATTAACATATTTTTAGAGTAGTACATTTTATTGATTAACTTATTTCTATTTATAGATTTGATATACTGAAAAAACTAGGAGAAGGATCTTGTGGAAAAGTTCAATTAGGTATTTGTAAAGAAACTGAACAGCTGGTAAGCTATAAATTAGTTAATAAATTATTTAACTACCTATTTTTATTGTGTTAGAACAAGAGTATCATTAACAATTTAACTGCCAAGTATTTTATTATGTATATTATATAATATATACCCTTTATAACTTCTATTTCTGATATGCACTAATAATGAAATACCCATGGTTCACTTACATTTTCATTTTAGTATGTTTATAGTTATTATAAAAGTATTGTTATTTTAGCTGTGAATGTATTTTAAAATACATTTATTGTTTTGATATTTTTATTTACTGAAATAGTTGATTCTATATCTTAATTATTTTAGAAAATTTACATCATGTAGTAAGTGTTCCGTAAGTTCAGATTAATTTTTATTTTTATTTAAAAAAAAAAAAAAAGTGAGTCACTATTTATGATTATAAGATCTATCATCCATTATTGTAATATAAAGTTATGATAATGTGTTAAATTATTATAAGTTATTCGTCTTATATATACTATATTAGCTTGTATAGCAAACTAAAAGTCTTTATAGTGTATATTAATTAAATTTAAATTGTTTAAATTGATTAAATGCAAGAATTTGATACTAATTGTTTTAGAATAGTTTAATATTTTTTACAATTTTAATAATGATTATAGTTTATTTATAATTCATTGATTTAAGTAATGATATCATATTGTAAATTACTTAACTTTGCCATTTAGATTAGTAATTGTTTTTACACTATCCTTTAAATAATAAGATAATTTTATGAAAACAAATTGAAATTAGAATAATTCTTAAATCTTAACTAAAAGCATATAGCATTTATATATTAATTTTATGTAGGTATATAGTGCTTTAAAACCAAGTTAGTACATTTTGGTAATTTTGTTAAATATTATCATTTAGTTTTTAATTATATTGTATTGGAAGTAAATAATAAATATTTATTATATAATACTATTCTATATATTATTTTAGTTTTAATTAGTAATTTATTTGTATATAGGTTGCTATCAAAACAATTCGGAAGCGAAAAATAGAGACTGAAGCAGATTTAATACGAATAAGGCGAGAAATACAAATTATGTCTTCTGTAAAACATCCTAATATTATTCATATTTATGAAGGTAGTTAATTTATAATAATATATGAAATTTAAGTTCTAAATTAGTGATAGTCAAACAATCATATTATATGGTTTGAAAGTCAGTCATAAATAATTTATTAGTATTTGAAAATATCATTTATAGATAATTTTTTTATCAAATAGTCATCCATGTAATTATATTTAAAATAATAATTGTATAAATCATCAAAGGAAAAACATTTTTTGGTAAATTTTCACTGAAATAATTTGGATATCCTCTTAGATAACTAATTTAACTGATTTTTAAACATGTCTTTGTTCCTTTATTTTTATCTATTGCTTATTTTAATTTTTATTAAATTTTTTTTTAGTATTTGAAAATCGAGAAAAAATTGTCTTGGTAATGGAATATGCGGCTGGAGGTGAACTTTATGATTATCTCAGTGAGAAAAAAGTTCTTACTGAAGAAGAAGCTAGAAGAATATTTCGACAAGTGGCTATTGCTATTTTTTATTGTCATAAGGTTAATATTTTAATTTAAAGTTAAATTATACTTGTTTTTAATTATAATTTTTGATAATAATAATAATATATTTTAATATATTAGCATAATATTTGTCATCGTGATCTCAAATTGGAAAACATATTATTGGATGAACAAGGAAATGCAAAGGTGTGTTGCTTGAAAGATAAATATTTATTTGGTTATAACTTATAAATATGCTGTTAATAGCATGAAATCAGTTAATATGAAAGCTCTATAACTTTTCTAATTTATATAGTTATCTTGTGCTGTTTTAAAATGTTATTTTAAAAATTGTTTTTTTCTTTTTAACTGTTAGATTGCTGATTTTGGTTTGTCAAATGTTTTTAATCAAAAAGCACTATTGTCAACATATTGTGGTAGTCCATTGTATGCATCTCCAGAAATTGTTACTGGTACTCCTTACCGTGGGCCTGAAGTAGATTGCTGGTATGCTGCTAAAGAAAAATTCAACTAAAATATAAAAATACTAACCATAACAATTGTATACATCAAAATTTATGAAACAATTTCATTTAAGGTCTCTTGGTGTTTTATTATACACTTTAGTGTATGGCACAATGCCATTTGATGGATCAAATTTCAAACGCCTGGTTAGACAAATTTCTCAGGGTGAATATTATGAACCAAAAAAACCATCAAGTAAGTAAATATTTTTGAGTAATTTAAATGTATTTATGCTTTTAATTGTAATTGTGATAATACTATACTCTTTTTCAGGAGCTTCTCCTTTAATTGGTAGTATGATGACAGTAAATCCTAATGCACGTGCTGATATCCATAAAATATGTTCACATCAGTGGTTAAATGAAGGTTTTTCTGATGGAAATCAATGTTTACGCATAGCAGAAGAAATGGCTTCTTCGACTCCAGTTAGATTAGACTTGTTACTATCTTTAGCACCTACCCCCAAGGAAGCTAACAATAATTTAGGTATACCACCTTCTCAAAGTAATGTTGAAAATGATGTACGATCTGAGACTGGACCTGTAAGGTCACAAAGTTTAGGAAGTATATCTCCATCCCGCGCTACTGTAGTAATACCCGAGTTACCTGGTAAGTATTATCAATTAGTCATTTATAATATATAATATATAAAATTCTTTTTAAAAATTTCGATGTATTTAAAACAATCAATTTTATGTTTAGTGGAGAAAAAACCTAAAAAGCTTAAAAAAAGAGATCGTTCAATGAGTCGCTCTAAAAAATCTAGTCAGTCTGATACGGGTGAAAATGATCTCGAAACTCCAACTTCTAAAGAATCATCTAAATCTATTAAAAATAATTCAAAAAGTGATCTACCACAGTCTCCATTACAGTCTTCTACTAACAGTGAATCTGATGTAGTAAAACCTGTCGAACGGGCCCGACGACGATCTAGTAGAGTTTTAGAAGCTGTAGAAAAATTAGATCAAATTGAATCTATGGCAAAAAATAATTTTGATCAAAAGAGGAGAAGTTCTCTTGGTAGTGGTTCATCAAATAGTTCCAAAAAGAGTATAGAATCTGTTGGGTCTACTACTCGAGAATCAACAAAAGAACCACAATTCAGTTTAGAGTCTACAGTTTGTTTAAATAAATTAGCTGAGTCAGCATTAAATAATGAACCAATTTGTGGAGAAGCACAGTCAAATAAGAGTGATTTTAAAAACCTTCCTGATGATTTAAGAAAAAGCTTAAATGCTATCAGGGTAAATATATTAATTAAATTAAAAAAATTCTTTGAAGTATTGTATAAACACATTTATTGTTTATATTTAATTGATAAATTAAAACTTTTGGCTTATATTTAAAAAAATTTAATTTTGAAAAATGTTAGGTCAGTGTTTACTGATTATTAATTGAAAATGTAGCTTTTAATAGTTTTAATGATTTTTTTTAGATAATTGGAGATTCTATTTCTGACAGCAATACAAGTAAAGTTATTGAACCTAAGAGAAAAACTTCAAGAGCTGAGATAAAATTAGCCAAGCCCGAGTAAAAATAACTAAATCATACTTCATACTTTACTGTATTTAAAGTACAAATATTTATTTAATTTTAGGTTACCAATTAGTGGCGTCATAAATAATTCTAAACTTCAAGATAATGATCCAATAGATGCAAATTACAAAACTGAAGTGAAGCATTTTGTTCAAGTGCCTAAACCAACTAGACGTATCACTGAAGTATCTTTTCCAGTTGCTGGAACTACTCCAACTGCAGCTGCACCATTACCACCAAGGTAGAATTTATATGTATAGTTAATTTTTAAGATTAGAAATTTTTAATATTTAATTAAAACTGGAATGTGTATTTTTTATTATTTTTATATTTATAAAAAAATTATATCTATATATTATTAATATATTTATCAAAAAAAATTTTTTTTTTTTAAGCTATTCAATTTATATTTTAATTTTAAATTATTTATTTTTTTGATGGACTCACAATATTAATTTAATAATAAGTTTAAAGCTCTATTTTTTAAAATTCATTTTAGACCTGTTTTGAGACAAAACAGTCAACTTCGTGAACACATCATACCTATACGATTTGAAGTAGAAGATAAACCAAAATCAAAACCAGTTCAAAGAGTTTCATCTGTTACAAGTCCCAAGACCAGTTGCAGTAACTTGTCAAGACAAAGCACAGTAGATACAGATAGTAATAGCAGTATTGTAAGCTTAGGAGAGCCAATAAGAAAATCTCCTCGTGAAGTTATCATACCTATTGCGGTTGAAGGTGGAGGTTTTGTTACACCTAGTAATAGTGCACTTTCTAGAACAAAGTAAGCAATAAATCTTTTAATAAACATATATTTCATATTACATGTTTAATATAATTCATTATTTGTTTTAGTTCAAATAGCGATAAGGGTGATGATGATAATAGTACTGTTGGTGGTCAGCCTAGATGTTTCACACTCCGTAGTACACGCAGGCAAAGACCATCTATAAGAAATTTACAATCGACTGAAAGTATAAGTTCTGATGAAGAAGATGACAGTTTTGAAATTTTAACTGCTGAGAATTTATTCTCTACATTATTATCCAGAGTAAACTTTTTTTAAATTTATAAAATTCATATTAATATAATATATGAACATTATTTACTTAGGTACGTGATTTAACAAATAGATTGAGTAGTGATGAAGGAAGAACATCTGACTTCCCAAGATCATTTTTCAATCACCATCGTTCTATATTTGACCACCAAACACCAATGTATGATCTTTTTAAACTTATTTTTTAATTTAATTTCATATCTTTTGATCTTATTTATAGTCGTCGTTTAACTGAAACTCGTTCATTTAATCGATCTGACAGTGCTCCATGGAGAAGAAGTTTTGTTTCTACCACTCAAGATCGTCCATCTAATGCTTCTAATACAGGTAAAATTCTATCTTTTAAACTATGGGCTTCAAAAATTTGGTTTTAATATTTATTTTTAATAAAGAAAAGTATAATCTGTTGGCAATACTATTAGCTAAAATATTAATTTGTGTTTTTGTGACAGTAGCATAGAACATTAGTGGTGTGTAGGCCTTCTTACATAACATTTGTATCTGATCAAAAAACATGATAATCAATGCTTTATTCAATACACACTACACAAATAAAACACTTTCACATTTTACTACTTCTATAGTATAGTTTTTATTTAAAGAAGTAAACATTAATTTAATGTTAGTAAACTTGGTTTAAGTAATTTTCAAAATAGGTGAGGATATTAAGTATTAAGTATAAGAATAAATCAGTAACATTTATATTATCTTCTTTTATGTTAATATTCACTACAATGACTCCGTTATTTAAATATAAATAATGTTTAAATCAATTTAATAGGTAAAATAATTATATATATATTCCAAATTATACTTCTTAAATAAAATTAATAATAATTAAAGTTAATTAAGATGTGTTCAAGATTTATTTTTTTTTAAATTTGTTATGACTACTGTCACACTCAAATTTGTACTCTTTAAGTATACATTGATTTATTACAAAATATTTGTATACTTAATTCAGAACAAAAATATCTAGACTGACAAATAATAAATAAAAACTTGTCTATACTGCACATTTATCCAAATTACCAATACTTGATTACGGTTGACAGCAGTGAATGTGTATAATCAAAAATTATTAGTATACAATTATTGACATTTTTGAAATAAGGGAGGAGGAGAAGTAGGAGGGGAAAATAACATATTATTTATTTAATCATTTGTAGAATTAGAAATTTTTTTACAGAATAGACTATAGAAGTATAGAGTATAGATTAGATAAATTAACTTTCTAAAATCATAAATTATTTTCTTTCTATAGCCATTTTAATAAAATGATTACATTTACAAATAACAAATTTATGATTTCATCTTAACTAGTTATTTCACTAAAAGTTATGAAAACAAATATTTTTAATAAAGTATATTTATAGTAATTTGTTTTGCCAATGGACATATCATGATAAATATTTTTTTAACACATAATTTATATTTTTACAATTATTATTAAAAATTTAATTTTTAAGTTTTAATCTATTTTTTTTTTTTCATAAATATTTAATATACTTTTATTTCAAACATTTTACCTCTAGTCTTCACTATTCTTATATTATTAGGGCTTTTGTATTACTATTTCTAAGGAATTCTACTCAGGCAATTATCTACATTAAGTTAGGTACATGTGTAATAAACCAACTAATAAATAATTTATTTTTTTAAATTAAAGTAATGTATGTTAAACATTATGTTGGTTTTAATGTTATATACACTTTTAACTGTTAATATTTAAAATAATTAAATCTATATATGATGTTATTATTAGAGCAGCTTACGCACTATAAAAGTACATTTTTAGCCCTTTAAAATATACTTAAGAAAAAAAAATAACAATAAAAATTGGTAAATAATATGTAAAATAAAATTGTTTATACATTTTTTTTTTTTTTAATTTTACAAATTTTATAAATTTTTGTAAAATATGGCAGTAGATATTTAGGAATTATAAGGGTATTTGATCCAGCTCTAGAACATAAATATAATGAGTCTAATAATTAAAATATAATGCGTTTGACATGATTTTAAAAATAACCAAATTATTAGAAATGAATATAATAAATTGACTGATGTGATCAGTGATAACAACTGATAACATACCTATTATTTGAAAATAAAAATAAATTTTTTCGTTTACATATTTGTATTTTTTATTAGTTTTGTTATTTATTTCCTTTTGTAAGAAATATCTACAAATAAAACTTAAAACTCTAAATTAATAAAATAGCACTAAAAACCGTAAATATGTATAAATTTGAAATATAAAATTTCTTATACGGTATCAGGAATGTATGAAACAAAAATGGTATATCATACTTTTAATTTTCTATAACTTACCAAAACAGTATATACATTTGCTAGAATTTCTGAGTCCTGGTTATTATTGTATTAGTTGATTTATTTAATTTATTTTGACTTTATATCACTGTAAAAATAATAATGAATAATTGAGTTATAAACAAAATAATTAATTATAATTTATAAATCATAACTTTAAGTTATAATGCAAACAAAATCTTTTATAAAAGTATTCATTTATAACATGTACCTACTTATAATTTATTCTAATTCTAATTAATATTTTAAAAATTATCATTTGTTATGATAAATTTTATTCGGTAGAATTTTTCCATTAATAGGAAGTCATGTTATTTACACAACATAACATACAAGTATAACTATACGATTGTGCTAGAGTATTGCATGTGTGTGTTTTATTTTGTTGCAGCCAATGTGACGGTGCATGTGCCACGTGTACAAGACGAGTAATAATGATACTTCCTTCTGCCTGTCCATAATTTAAACCAAAACAAATCTATACATATTACCTATGCCACAAATCTATAGGTACGCAACTGTCTCTCTCTTTTTTTTTCTTAGTGACACTAACATGATTTTCTTATAAATAAAACTATTTTATTGTATGTTTATGTGATTTAGTCATTGTTTCTAAACTAAAGTTTATAAATTGTTTGTTTTTTAGAACTACTTAAAAATGCTGATCAAACAACTAATATTCAAAAACCACCGGTATACAAGTACATTCTGCCACGTGTTCAGGAAACCACAACTAATAATGAACACTTAAATTATCGTGACAACATCATTGCAACAAAACTACCAATGTCATCACCTCCAAAACAGATAACCCAGCCATCTGTATACAACATGCACTCCAACCCTATTAAGGAACGTCAGTCTCGTGTGGATCAAATTTTGGAAAAATATCGTCGCCAACCATCTAACTCTTGTTCCAGAAAATTTTCAAGATCGTTTAGCTGCAACACTTCTACTGAGACTGCACCGTCGACTGAAAATAAACTTTTGGTTCAAACAACAATGATAGCAGATTCTGGTAAAAAAGAAGAGAATACAAAAAATTCAGGGCCTCGTAGTGTTAGTCCATATGCACTTTTTGATCATTCAGATGTTACCTCTGCCACAGCTACTGCTACCCACAAAGACTGCACCAAAGCCAATGCTGATAATAGCTTTTTGTCTAAATCGTATTCAATGAGAAGTTTGAATGAACATAGAACTCGGACTTTGGGTAGGACATCATCATCTGTTGATCAGAGATCGGTGCCAAAACTTAACAATTCAAGTATCAATAACGATGAAGACCCACCTTCGTCGTCATCGTCATCTTCTACCACCACTACTGCTACCACTTCTTCCAAGAGTTTGGTCTCAAAAGAAGACTATAACCATTATTATCATAATGGTTCTCTGGCTTTACTGGACTGGACAGTTGGAAATTGTAGTGAAGAAACAGTCAGTGATCGAATCAAGCGTCGCAGTTACTATGTTAAACTTAAATAATTTTATTTTAAATTCAAGCTTTCATAATGAAATGTTATTGACTATTGTATTGGTTACCAGTATATGTTTAGAGTTTTTCTGATTTATATTCACCTAATATATAAACATACATAAAATATATCTAGTCAAATCAAACTCCAAGGAAATCCAGAATAACAATTATTATATACAAGTTGATTAGTTATTTATTTATTATTATCATATATAGTTTTATTACATGATATTTAAATGTTGAAAATTTAACATAATAAATATATTATATTGTATTTAAATTGTTTTGTAATGTAATAACTGTATTACTAACATTAGAGAATGCAGATAACAAACATAATTCATGTTTCATTGGACATTTAAATTGGATATAAATATATTGACATATTATAACAAAATAATCAGGAAACTATTGACTTAAGTTAAGATTTACAATGTTTTTTGTGTAATTTATTCAGTTTGTTATAAATTATTTTGGGAAAGTTTTATTCACACACTTGGAAACTCTACAAACAGTTTCTCTAAGTCTTAATTTTCATTTGTTGATTCAGATTTATATTGCTTTCTGTTGTGTGATTAATGTTTATTTGTTGTAGTATACTAGTATTTATAAAGCCAAATTTACTTCTAACTAGTTGGATTGTTCATGGATTCTGAGGAGTAAGAGAATGTTGGAATAAAGAAGTTTTGAAAATGACCTACGTAAATAGTTAGATACTATTAATACCTAGGGAATATTATTTAAAAATTGATAATTAAAATATGATGGTTGAATAATAAATACTATTCAGAAAAAAATTAATATTTTATTAGTGATTACTTTTTTTTTTATACAGGTCAAAAGTGTTATATTACATTTATAATCAAACTGAACAAATCATAAGTCTGTATTAAATCCAATGTTGACGCAAACAATACCATTTTTATTTATGGCATGATAAAAGTTTTTTAATTCGCCTATCTCTCGAAATAATTATATTGAAATTTAGTTACATTCAAAAATAATTTAGTGATAACTGACAATTTTCCATTATCCAGTAAGGAAGTACCCACCCATCTTACTACCCCTATCAATTTTTTGTCTGAGACATACTAAAAATATACTAACCTATTTTACCTACCTAACCTATTTAACTTAATCTCTCAGAAGTGCCATCACTGATTAAGTTTATTGATGTGCTAGACATTTTTTATGAAAGTTTAAAAAAGTTGAAGACAAAAGAAAATGATGATCAATCAATGTAATAATTATAATGTACAGGTGATAATACCTAACTATATAAAATTATTCAGTATAATAAATAGTTAGAACATTAAATATTATATACATAATACTGATAAATAATTTATAAAATCATAATTCTAATTACAATTGTTTTATTAAAAATTAGTTACAATTTTTTTCATTCTCAGTTGAACTTAAAAATGCATGATGATAGGAAATTTTTTTTATTTAAATGTGTTTCAATTTCTAGGTAATGGGTAAATATTTTTGCTTTTTTCAAATTTTTTTGTGCTGAATTATGAATTTATCATTGTTTTTTCATACATATTTATGGTACAAATCAAGAAAAGTTTACGATGACAATGTTATGTTACTATGTTAGAAATTACCTTTAATTGGTATCTACGCTTTATCGCTGTTTTATGTAAGTACTTGCTTATCTATAAAATATTCAAAAAAGTTAATTTAGTGTTAATTTAAGTACACCTATACTACCTATAAAGTACTGATTAAGTTTGTTCTCGATGAGTAAATTTAAGAATGCTCGTCAGTAAATGCTTTTGTATTGCTTATATTATCTTAAAATCTGAATCTTAATGATAAAAAAAATAATCTCATCTTAAACATCCGCTTATTTATAACTATAAGTACTTGTTTAATTAAAATTAATCGTTTAAAAAAGTATATCATACTTTGATGGTTTTTAAATTATTTACCTAGGTACAATGCTGCGTTAAAGTTTTTTTTAAATACGTAATAAAAAAAAAAAAAACACTTGAGCTTAAATTAGTAAATAAACAAAATAATTTTATTAAGTACCTATAGACCTTTGTTTGAACAAATTATTATAACTCGTGATAACTTTTATCATTTTAATAGTAGATTGTTTTTGGACGCAGAAGAAAAATATATCAACGATCGTTAAATTATAACTATAAAATATTATAAAATTTACTTTTATGTAGGCTGTATAATATATTATACCTATTGTTTTTTATTATATGTAGAAGCGTATGGTGCATGGAAAACATTCAGTTGGGTAAGAAAATTGAAAAGTAGGTACTTACCTAGCCACTGCAGCAGTAATAAGCAGTTAATAAGTTAATATGATTTTTGAACTAAGTTTTCTTTTTTACGTCCAAATTAATCTTTCCGAGGTCATGGTCAGGCTTTTTTAGTTATTAAATTAAAAGAAAAATAAGATTTCATGTAAAGCGATATCATTCAACACGATTAGTTCAAGGTAGTTTGGTTGGATTTGCGTTTTATAGTTTTATACACTTGTTGTTAATAAACTCACACTTTTTTTATAGGTAAAAATCTTGCTAAAAAATTTTATTACTGGATTTCAGTCATACAAGAGCTAGTATCAATCATTTAATATTCAAAATATTCCAATTAATTAAAAAAATAAAAATAAATAGTGAATCCCAATGCTCATAAGTAGTTTTGCGTTGTGGCAGAGATTTATGATGAAATTCATGACTTAATTTTGTCTTATTTAAATGAAATAATAAATATATAATTTTATTTTAATAAATAAAAACTAAAAAGTATTACTTATGTGGCTATGTATTAATATTGTTATACAGTATTCTAAAACTTAACACTGTACATACTTTGTATTGAAGTTATTTCATTTTAAATAACATTGATTGAATATGCGAATTTATATTATTTTAATTTTATGATTTATAGAACTTGACGACCAGTCACCGTAATTGGTCATAATATGTAACAGGTTGTAAGTATCTACTTAATCTTAATAGAATATATAGTATTTATTTTATTAGACACTATGAGAAATTCAGGAGAAATGTAATAAGGTAAAGTATATAGATATACGCTGTACATCGTTTGTATATTATGTTTAAGTGTTAAGTTGAGCTTGAGGTATATTATTTAATATGAAAACAAATAGCTTTAAAGTAAAATTCTATCTAGATCTAAGATTTCTGACCATTTAATATTTATACTATGGAAAATTACTAATTAGACACAACATAATGTCAAGTTGTACAGAAAAAATATTAATTTGAATTTCCACACTGTCCCAAACTTCTCGGAGTTGCATTTATTATATGTCTTTAAGCGGTGTGTGACCTTTTCCCTTTGTAGTATTACAATTTACAATTGAAGTGAGATCCATTTAGATATATATTATGTATAGTGCGACCTGTAAAAGGCCATTTTCGCGATGAGAAGAATAAGTATGGAATAATATGAATATATCCGTGTAATATGTTCTACATAATGTCACAAGAACAATTTTAAAATTTTTAATAATTTATAAATAAAGAGATGCCTTATAGGTGTATCAGATTGTATTATTATTGCATTAACACATTACAGTCACGTTTTCAAAAACAAACGATCATACATGATACACGTAGACATGATATGAAACTGTTGAGATAATATTTATTTTGTTAAAGTATGCGTAAATCGGCTTTCACGTCATACCTTGCTATGTTGCTGTTGTACAAAAAAATCTCATTTATAATAGATAGCTACTATAGCTACCTATATAATATAGCCTATATGTAAGAAAAATTCAAAAATGTCGTCACACGAATATAATATAGGTACGTATAGTTACAATTTATGAAATATCTTTGAACGAAATTCTTTCTGCACAGAACGAAAATTCATTGGTAAATTCTATAATGCTTTATATTAATTTATGAACAAATAGTATTATGTTAAAATAACAATTATTATTTTGATTTGAAAAATGTATTGTTTAATTAAGAATGTCTATATGTAAAATCAACAAATACTATCGGTAGAAATGTAGAATTAATTATACATACAAACAGAAAGAAATACATTGAATTAATAGACAGTTTATTAAATTGAAGTATTAAACATCATATTATTGAATATAAATCCTATAATAAATATTAATATTTAATATTATTATGAATATTAATAATAAAAAAATGAGTTTGAGTATGATTTTAGCGTGCGATGTACAATAATTAATCGTGTTCGAGAATTGCATAGCTATAGTGACCTAGACGAAAATTATACAGACGAACGGAATCCAATCGTACGGTTCGATGCGTTTTTATGTATCTAGGTATTAAAGTAGATACGAAATATCAAATTGGAAATTTATGCTGAGAATGTACTATATTTTCAAATACAAACAATATTCGTAAGTCACATAAAATAGACCGTAACATAATATAATTGATATAATTATGTGTACATAATTATTATGTAACATAACATAATAACTATATAAACATTACGTTTATAGGTTCGCCGGTTCACGTTTAGTTTTGTTAGCTTTAAAATGATACTATATTCGTATATATACGTGTTTTAACCGTTTTAAAAATGTATAACATAATAAATTTGCTTCAAACTTACATAAATATTCATAATAATTTTGTTTATAATCGGGGAAAACAGACAAAAAAATTAAGAAAAAACGAAAATTTTTATGTTCAACCGTTTTTTAAATAAATTGATTTTTTATTTTATTATAATTTAAAAATCAATAACCACAGAAACTTAAAATTTTCATCAAGTGTTTAAACACATGGTATAATTTTCATAATTTCAGAGCTATTTATAGGGAATTGAAATGTTTGGGTTTTTTAGTTTTTTTTTTTTTATAAATATCGATAAACAATTTACGAATGAGTAAAAATTCTTAAAAATTTAAAACGAAATCCACTTAAAACTAATTTATGTATATTAAACTGTTTTGAATTTTTTTCGTACGCAAAGATATTTTTGATTTGTTTATGTGTTATCTTTTTATACTTTTTTTCCCAGTTTTTAATCGACGACGTCGCGGGAACTGTTTTTGCATTGCTTCCGCGGATATCTTATTATAATTAAATTAACCTATTTTAACTGTTTGGCGGTATTGTAAATGTTTTACTAGACTTTAGTTATAAATTGATGTATTATGGTATAAATGTGTATAATAATAATAAAATATTAATAATATAATAAACGTAAGATATTTGGAAAAATTACGTTAACGTATTGTAATACTAAAAGTAAAATAAATGATTTTAATAGCTATATCAAGAAAAATTTCATGAAGTATGCTTAATAATGTAGACTGATATTTTCATTGATATTTTAAATAGCAAGAATAAATACGTTTTATGCCAAGACAAAACTAGTTTTGTAATTTTGTTTAGCACATTTTGAGATTTTTTTTGTTTTTGAAAAATATTTCTTTTATTTTACACTCAGAGCTAGCGCTAAGAAAATTTTAGAACTGCCCAACATTTTAATATTTTTGTACATGCAGATTAACTAAATTTGCCGTTCGCTAAATTCGTTTAACAACCACTATTTACTATAAAATGACTACACATGTAAATTCTTTATTCAAAACTTTATTCATTACATTATTACAATTAATAATAATAACAAATTAAAACATTTTTTTTTTTTTTTAACAATATTTAAACATTGTGACAGTTATGTATTTAATATTTATCACAGATATCTTATACTATATAGAAATCAGCTGTGGTATTTATTACCCGTTATAAACTTTTAGTTTTTACCAAGTATGTAATTCATATACTATATTATACTATATTGTTCTGTGTTATTGGTAATTATGGTCGGAGTTTAAATATTGAATGATCACATTATTATCAGTACTGTATTGCTCGAATTGCTTCGTGTTATCATATAAATTATACAATCTTCTACATGTATATGATAATAAATGTTATGGAATGGATTCATGATTGATAACATTTGTGGTGATAAAACCAAACAAAAAATATTAAATAAAATACATATTATAATTAAATTAAACAATATTACATAATATGCCAATAATACAGAAAATTCACGATTTTTGGTAATGACCAAATTGGTTTTTAGAATTGCCCATTTTAATTTAGAACTACCCATATTGGTTAGAACTACCCATTAGCGCAAGCTCTGTTTACACTTATATAGATAATATTTTAATTATTTAATTATTTCATCATTATTTTCTCCATCAACGTTTTTATTTCATTTAATATACAACCAAAATTGTTGGATTTAAATTTATTTTAAATTTTTATCACATTATAGTTGTTGACCTCAGATGCTATTTAGTGAATTTTTCGCAAGTTTGCTTAGAAGCGCTGAGGATTGTCACTTATTAATTGTATGTATAATTAGATTACTGGACAAAATAATATGATCGATATTCGATATTTGGCGTTGTGAAGTTAACTAAATTGTAACTAAATCAAATACATTTATTAAAATAATACAAAAAAAAAAAAATAAATAAATATTGTTTTTTAGTTTAAAAATATATGTTTTGAGTGTTAAAGTATATATTTTGTGACTTTTTAGAGCTATAAATTCTCTATATTCGCTATTAATGTTGAAATTGGACGTAAATGTCTCGCAAGAAAATCGTCGAGGGGCGGACCGCTAGATTACGGTCATTGTCGGCGGACGGATGCGATTGGCCCCGACGCGCTACCCGGCGTTTCCACAACGTTTCCGTCGTCGACAATATAATCAGTCGCAACGTGTTCGCTGTAACGTTCGTTCGTCTGTATCGAGTGTGCGTTAGTGCTGGTTTAGACGACGGTGATATTATTATAGTTGTTTCCGTTACCAAAGCCATAGTTGACCTGTCATTAGTCGTTTCCTTTGTGGTTTTTTACGATTGTTTTTATCTTTATTTGTGAAAAATAAAAGAGTTTAATTTTGTAAAACGCATGGCGAATTTTCATCGTTTACTGCTGTCACATCGCCTCGTAATAGTCGCAGACTTCGTGAAGAAGATTGATGGTTAATCCAGCACAAACGTATATATAATATAAATTTTATACATTGACTTCGATACTACATTTCATTGACGAGGGTTCATAAAGTTGATTACAGATGTAAGCAATCTAATTTAAATAATATTAATTTATAATATATATATATTACAGTACTTGAATTGAAAAAAAAATTAGAAATAGGATGCAAAAGTGTAAAATATTTGAATATTTAAATGTCTTAATAATTAACATATAGTTAGAAGGAATATACGTAAAATATTTTTTTAATAGAAGGACTACATTCTTCCATGTCCCTCATAAATTCAAGCAAATATAAATATATATTTTTATAATATTTGTATTTATACAAAGGGTACAAATGGCTTTCCGTTTTTAGATTTTAAGCAATCTACTGTTTACGATATTATCATATTATATTTTTTGACATTTTATTATCTCCTGTAAGATATAATATGTTGTATTAAATGTTAAACAAAAATATATTTATACTAATTTTTCTGTTTTTTGAATAAAACGCTTTTCGAAAACTATGGTCTGAAGTCAGAATAAAATTTATTAGGTATTTTACTATTTATTTTATTTTATCGCAATATAATTGTTTTTATTAATTTTTCAAATGTATACCTATATTTATTGTTTCATAATCGGAAGTGGATTACTTTTAAGGTTTTGATGAGTGGTGTACTTATTTTGAATTGTGTTTTTTGCAGGGTATACCTTATAATTTTACTCTTTAATTAGGTATATATAAATTATTAAGTATAAACTCAACAGATGATTATTAATAAATAGTATTCATTATTCAATGTTTAAAAAAAAAGTATTCCACTTTTAAGTATGAAATTAAAAATATAGCTAGCTTTTATTAAATAAATTAAAAAAATTAAATATTACTATACTAAAATATAGTAAAAACGTATTTTCAATGGTATATGTATATATGTAGGTAATTGGTTTTACAATAATAGCCGAATACATATTTATACATTTAAATTTATAAAAAAAACTAATTATTGACATAAAACTTATGTAATTAATAACAATTGTTCATTTTAAATGTATAAATGTTATTAAACTAATTTTAATTTAGTTTTGAAAATTATATCTTTAATGAAACTTAACATTATTTAAAAAAAAATTGTTTGTATTTAATATTAATTATTACTATATAGTAGGTATTTAATATTTTAATATGGTCATTGATCAACTTCAAAATTAAAAATTAAATATTTTTTAATTCCTAGGTAATTTTAAAAATGTCTATTATGAATGATTAATCATTTTTAGATTTTTTTAGAAAAACTTATCTTACAATTAATTGTATATCTATATCACTATATATTGCATTTTCATGTACTGATGTAGGTACATATTATTTAGTATCTATTAATCATTGAAAATCGATTCGACGTTGTATTCTGTTTTATAATCATTAGATACTTAAAATTTTTATTGAACTTATTATAATATGGGATACAGTAACGTTAAACTAGTTATCCAAGTGGGAGGTCAATAGAACTTTGAAAAAGATAAATTATATAAATTGTATGTAATTGTGTTTAATTTGTATTTATTTAATAATATTTTGATATATTATTTAAATTATTTGAATCAACTTAATAATGTATGCAAGTTATAACTTTATACATATTAAAATATTTTTAATATTTAAATTATTATTAGTGCTCACTAGTTAATATTTAAAAATAATAACTTATCTTGAAATACGAGCCAAAATAATGTATAGGTATTGAACACACAAATATGCTATAATGATTAATTGTATATGTAAAGATTGCATCTGTGCAGTAACAGTAGTTTAACTAATAATATAAACTGTTCCTACAATTTTAAATGTTACCTATTACTTACTTATTAGTGATTATTATAATTATATTTGATAAATTATAAATTATTAGGATAAATAAAAGTTCATTATTTAAGTATAATTAGTAAATTTTATAAATGTTTTAATTTTTTTAAGAATTTATATAAAATTTATTGTTGTATAGAATTATAGAAAGTAATAATTTTTTTTTTTTTTGTTCTAGTTAAATTACCTATAGGTACTTCCTATTACAATAATTATGACGAATATTGGACGTATCCGGACTGTAGTATTAGGAAGTTCTCGCGTTGGGAAATCTGGTAAGATATTTGAATTTATATTCCTAAAATAATAAAATTAAAAGCCATTTAAGTATATAAAAGTTGATTTAAAGTGAAGTTATTATTGGTTTTAGTTATAGGAATATTATCTATTAGGACTACTAAAAATATTTAAATTCTTGTAACATGTATAATGTACATTACATTATGTTTTTTAAATTGTAAAATTCTTTATTCAATTATGACCTTATTAAATTATTAAAAATGTAAGATTTTGATGGATCTCCAAATAACTGTTTATTTAAAAAATTATTTTACCAAATAAGTATAAATTCTTACATAAAAAGTTAAATAAAATATAATTTCGTATTATCGTATATTATGTACAATATATAGTACTTAAGTAGTCGTATATTTATAAGAGTTATTACTTATCATATAATAGTCACGTAGGCAGTGAGTAGAAAAATAAGTGCAATAAAGTTAATCATTAATGCAACTGTGTACTATCTACAATTATTATTAAAATATCAAAGTGTGAAATGTATTTCATTATAACTAATAGTTACTGCATCACTTGAATAACGTGTTAGTGCGCAATATACATATAAACAATTACCTATAGGCTATAATATGTATATAGACAAAGTCTAGACGTTTGGTTATTATTCTTAGTATGCGCATATGTTTATACGTGATGGAACCTAATATGGAAACAATGACGATACGTAATATTTCAACATATTTTGTGCTAATAAAACGGTAATGTGCAACGGTAGTTTGTATATTTGGTAAGGAAACCGTAATAATGAAAATTGGAATTAGAAATTGTAATGACCTGAGTATTGCAGGTTATTAGTTATTAGTTATTACTATTATAAAAATATAAGGATTTTGATCTTCATCGGTAATAATATTGAGTCAATCGATTAATATATAATGAAAATTGAAAATGTGTGACTATGGACAATTTGTATATTAAAATATTGTGCGGTGTTTTATTCCCTTGTGTATGAGCACGTGTGTTAGCGATCAAATACGTCGTATTGCAGTGTAGACATATGAACAGTGAATACTGAATAATGTGAAATGCAATTATTCTATTTCTATCGTCATGTGCAGCACTTATAAGACAATATCGACGGTGCATTGTTTTAAAATTTACTTCATTTGGGCATCCCTTGTCAAACAAGGTGTATTGATAGGTACTATCTATATTTATGTCTATTTTCCCACAGAAAGTTACAACTTAATTATTATGAGATATCATGCATGGTATTCATGTGGCTATACTTTGCAGTATGTAATATTAAATTATTCTATTACGTTCTCAAAGTTTACATAATTTATTTAATTCATCACATTAGGTTTAAAATTTGATTGGTAAATGCTGTACAATAGATAATATATATTATCATAATATCTACTGTAAAATATATAATAATTACACAGGTAAAAATCTGGACTTCTAAATAGGTTAATATTATATAACATAATATAAACCATTGTTAAATATGTAGTAAGTAATGAGTGGTTTGTTTTAAAGTCTGCAGAGAGTGGTAAAATTGAACTATTAAGTTTAGGTTATACCTATATAACGTTAAAACAATTATATGAACGTCCAAATGTCTGACACATACTTGTGTATGTGATGCTGTGCCAATTTCATTTTTGACAACGGGCAGATTGCAAACCATAAAAAAAAGAGAGCGAGGTCAATGTTTTTACAACATGTAGTATTTTGAGATAGGTACAGTATATGCAAAAAAATATTGAAGATGACGATTTATAAAATGAATTTTAGTGTCTAAAATACGTAGTTTCATACGTTCCATAGGTTAACACTTAAATATAGTACTTAATATACTTACATTAAACTAAAAAATTTAAAAAAATTTAAATAAATTATTTTTGTGTTTAATTTAGTTCATTAAATTTATTTAAAAAAATTACTAATGATGATTATACGCATACAGTCTACAGACATACAGTTACTCAAGGATTTAGAGAGGAAAGTTGAATCGCGCACTTCAAGTACTATTGTAAAAGCATTCATGATTTAATATTCGATAATTTTATTCCTTACAATCAATTTAAAATATAAAATGTAATTACCTACTAAAAATAATTTAGTATTAGTGCAAGTATTTGTAATGTGTATAATATTCAGTATAGATACTATTGAGTGATGGCTATAGGAGAGCAATAGAAATTTCAGTTGTTCTTGAAAATTATTATAATATCTCGCTAGACATTTTAATTTACATATAAAATTAATGAACGTACTAAATACAACTGTATTTTTATACATATGGTTAACCTTTTGGTAACGTTATACGTAAATATAGGTTTATACAAATAAAACTTTAGTACATAGGTCATGGATGTATATTATATTATATAGTGTATAATAACCAGGATTTAGAATTTAATGCGTTTTAAAAGTACTAAGTAAAAATAAACTTACGTGCTTATAATAAAACAAATATGCACTTATTTTTTTTTTATTTACAATTTTCATAAATACAAATATTTGTATAATTTATAATTTGTACTAAATATTGATATAAAAATAAAAATACAATTTAAAATTTTATTTTTTTATCGCCAAATTTTTAAATTGTATTGTAAAAATATTATTAATCATCAAATATGCTCTAAAAATGGTAAAATTGAAAAATATGCTTTTAAAACTACAACATTTTTAAATGTACAAAAATATCCTACTGTAAACTTTTAGAATTTTTTCGTTGTGTTGTGAAATTAATTTTTAGCCTACTTAAGTATAAATCTAATAGCTTAAAAAAGAATACATAAATACAATAATTTCCGAGCTTTAATAATGACGTCTGTCAGTATAGACTATAGAGTACTGTATGCTTAGTCTGTGATCTTAACACTTAACACTTTAACAGTGTTATTATATAAACGGGGAAAATATAGAGACCGAAATACATGATCAAATTTTATTTTCGATTTGAAAATTTTTTGTGGAATTGTATTGTACAAAAAATACATTTAATAGGTAGTTAATGTTATTAATAAATAAAATAATATTATATCGCCGCTAACAATTATTATAATATAATAGTGTCATCGAAAACCCACGCGATATCATTCAAAACCTGCGATACGGGCAATTATTATGGTGTCTACAAAGTGCACGTGTCATATTTATATCGTACCTGTATATACAGGTAGATAAAAAAATATGAATGTATATATATATATTTATATATAAAATACACTGCCCCGACATAATATAATAGTGCAACGCACGATGAATGCGACGTCAATCAAATCGGCATCAGATGACCGGCGCGTGCGAACACAACTGCACGTAGTTATCATACACACACACACACACACACAGACAATAATAATACACACACACAGCATTATCATTACACACACACACAACGACACACACACACACACACACACACACACAGACATTACACATTGCATAATACACACACACACACACACACACACACACACACACACACACACACTACATGGGCACACACACACATTATTAGCACACACACACACACACAAACATGTTATTGACACAATACACACACACACACACACACACACACACACACACACACACACACACACACCCACACACACACACACACACACACACACACACACACACACACACACACACACACACACACACACACACACACACACACACTGTGCGTTATTAATACTTATTTAATAATCATAATCATTGTCTGACCACCTACATAATATAATAATAATATTGTTATTATTTATTATACACGTCAAATAGTTAGCTGACTGGCAGCAAACACATGCCGTGCGAGCCCGGCACACGTTGTTTCAAACCGTCGGACACTTCCAGAGATCTATCTACTCGGAGTTATCTCGTTCTGCAGTTGCAGTCGTCCGCCGTACCCGTCGAGCCTTGTTTTCCAATTCGATCGCGATTTTATTGTCTCGTCGTCGAGAGGTAAAAAGAATGGTTTTTCCACGGGCTCATAATACGTGTTTGTGTACCACGGGAAACGTGTATAGGTATACATGTATTGTTAGATTAGGAGGTAGGTTAGGTGACCCGTCGAGGCTCTCGAAAATATATGGGTCAAATCATTATGCGACGTGCTTATATACCTATAATTACGAGGCGCCTGCTACAGAACACCGCCGCGGAGCTGGTCGCCGTCGTGCCGCAGAGTTCCGCGATACCGCGCGTTAGATAACCTAATAATTACCGCGTTGATAGGAGGCTGTGAGAACCCGCCTCACTTCACCCGTCGCGTCATCGATACCTTACAATATAATATATACATGATGTATATCGATATATGTATATAATAAACGTGCAGTGTATTATATAGTGCCAGCTGCAGAGTAAATTGCTAATTCTGACATTGGCAGTGTGACGGCGACGTGGACGTCGAGACGTCCGTCACGCTGTTTGTAAAATTAGTTTTGCACGGAGGAAGGAAAACGTAGAAACAGAATCGTATTATTATGTTTATAAACCGGCATTGCGTGAACATTTTCCACGTTTGAAAGCATCGCGCGATTACTACCATCATCCGGGTTCGCTGGTAAAACTCTTTTTTTTTTTTCTATATTGACACGTTATCAGCATTGTTGTTATTAAAAATAACAACAGTCAACAATTATGCGTACATATACATTTGTGCGTTTCATTAACTAGGTATTTACCTATTTTTTTTCTAAACAGCTGACAAACATGTTTTAAGTATATATATAGTATATATATGGGTTAGAAACGAATCTTTTCTACGAAGAAGGAAAGTCTTATAAAGTTATCGTTTTTATTTTTCAATTTTCATCAGTGATGTAATAAATAAACGCGAGTGTTCGACACACCACGTTTTTCCTCAATTATTGCGTAGCATTACATATAATACATAAATATATGCTTTTTTATAGTATACTACACAGTGATATTATAGAATTGAATAATAAAATGTTTTTACATTTTGATAATTTAGTATACAATGCTATTAGTACCTATATATCTTCGT